GAGCAGAGTAGAATGTTGCTTTGCACCTGCACAGAAACAATAGAGGAAGGAATGGAAATGAGAAAGTGATTAAACTGGGTATTTTCCTTCTGAGTAATGAATTAACAAAGTCTGTTGCCAAAACAGATACTGGGGATATGGAAAAAGAAAAGTACCCAAAACATGAAATGACCTGGACAATTATGTACTCTGACAACGTAAATCAAGCTACACGTATATTCTGCCACTTCACCTCATGTGTCTACCAGCCACACATTAATACCAGCTGCATGATTCTGTAATGGAGAGCTCTGTTTATTACCAAAAAACTCTGATTTTCATTAAGGTACCGTTATCCATGACTCTTCTCATTCCCTGCCTCTGACTGTAACTATGAAAATCATCTACATATATGAAACAAGACTCAACAAACATTTGAGGAGAATGCCCCAGTGAAGGGAAGCAGTTAACTCTCAAAACTCTAGAACAGATCTCAATGAAACAGTAGAGGAAAAGTTTTAAAAAGTATGATTAAAACAGCCTCTATATGATTCTAATCTAGACAATACTGAAGCTACAGAAAATTATCAAATTATACTAAGAAAGGTCTTCATAAAAAAAGAAATCAAACCAGAATACTTGGATTGAAATATTTTTTCTAAGGGCAAAATGTCTTTAAAAAGAGAGACACAAACATGACTGAATTAATGAGTTAGAAAAAGGAGTTGGCAGATTTTTAGGAAAAAAGTCTCTAAAGCTCTCAAACATATCTTTTCAAAATGTCTTTACAAAAAGGCAAAGATATAAACATTAAAAGAGAAATAATAAGAAATATGAAGAAAAAATTTGAAGCTATATGTGTCATAAAAAGAATCCATTAGGAGAGAGCAGACAGAATAGGAAAACAAATAAAAAAAATAGTAAAAAATGTTTCTCTGAGTTGAAAATAAGCAAAAGATTTTAATTTGAAAGGAAGACTAAATAGAATTACTAAATAATGCATTAAACTTGGACATATCTTCTGGAAATTACAAATTTTCAAGGTAGAAGGAAAGTCCTTAAAGTTCCATGCATGTGAAGGAATGTCAGATTAGCAATAGACTTCTCATGAAAAATACTAGAGGGAAGTTCATGTATAGTTTTAATGTATTTGATACCATTGCCTAATAGAAAGCAATTGATGTTGGCCATCAGAGACTTTATATCACTTAGATTAAAGATACTGGCAGACTTGTGTAAATCAAATCTTACATATAATATTTAATTTATAATAATAAACAAAATAATTGTATGTAAAATATATTATCTAAAACATAATACATAATCATAATAGCTTAATACATTTTAGCATGACAAAAGATTATTTCATAGAATATATCTAGTTTTACACATATTTTATGGTGTTGAGAATGATGGTACAGATGAAATAACATAGGGTCTGGTGCACATTAACTGCCTTTATTTAAGTTTAATAATTAGATTCAATGGTGCAAAATTACCTTATATCCAAAAATATTAGATGTATAGTAGGGAAAATATGTTTAAAAAACAGAAAGAAACTTAAGAAAATGGTGAGAAATGAGTAGGATTCCCCAAATTCTCAAATCAGAATAATTACTTGTTTTAAATTAAGGTCTTTGAACTTTTTAAATGCATAATACTCATTTTTTTTTCAAAAAGTACGTAGGGGAATTTATAAACAATGTAAAAACATACTGGAGAAATCTAAAAATATAAAGTGAAACATTGTTTAGCAGTCTCTATCAGTTGTTTGAAGCAGAATTTCCCAACCCTGACTGCACATGATCACCCACTCGGGAGATTTAAAAAGTATCAGTGCTAAAGACCCAGTCCCAGAGATTCTGATTGGATTGGCCTGAATGACTGGCACTTCTGGAATGACAATTTTTAAATGCCCTCTAGGAGATTCTAATGTTCAGCCAGGGATGAAAACCACTGGTTGGAATTAATGGTATGGGTTTATTAGTCACTATTTGTGCATGCATAAATATATAAATAGATTTTATTTTATCTTTTATAAATATGCAGAGACCAGGTGTGGCACAGGATCTTACATGTTTCCTATGATGTTCCTGTTTCTGCTTTAGTTACCACAGATGACAAAGAACTCACAGTGCTTGGCATCCAGTAGTTAATTAAATAACTATTTGTAGAATTGTAAATTGAACTCTTTCCTGAAGTTACCTAAATGCATCATTACTTGTAATATTCTTCCTTGGTGTTTTTAAACATAGAAATCCTTTCCCATGGCACAATCAATGTAATCGCCATCTGTAATTTCTATACTTGTTATAGCTTTATTAAAAATAGGATATTATATTTATATCCTATTTCATTCTCTTGGGAATCTCAACTACTTGGATTTCCTGCTCCTTTACCTATGTACTCATTTTTATTATAGCTACTCATCTCTCGCTTCTCTTCATCACTATTTAGATAATTTTAGGATAAGAGAAAAGAAAAACATTCATGCTAACCTAGCAGGGAAAGCAATACTTGTACACATAAAATAAGATAATATAAGATAAAATTAAATTAAATTAAATTTATGTAAATTAGAAGGGTATGGGTTAATTTTTAAATTCTCATTGTGAATGTTTTTAATTGCAAGCATTTTAGAGGAGAACAAGTCATAAGTAGAAATCCCCTCCTTTTCCATGGCCACCCATCTGTGCCCCCTCAGCAGCAGGTAACAACCTGAGAAAAGAATTTATCCTTCCATGTGAATGAAACAGAATTAGACATATGAGATAAGTCATAGAAATCTCATGCTGTAAACTCAAGAATAATCCTCTTGAGTTTTTCTTTTAAATGCATGACATATTACCACAAACTTAGTAGTTTATAACAACACAGATTTATTATCCCATCCTTCTCATGGGTTAGTAGTCCAGGCATGGTTCAGCTGTGACCTCCACTAGGGTCTTACAAGGCTGCCATCAAGCCGTTGGCCAGATTCCGTTCATATCAGGAGACTTGACTGGGGAATAATTCATTTCCAAGCTCATTCAAGTTGTTGGCAGACTGTTCACTTGCAGTTATATACTTGAAGGCCCTGCCTCTACCTGGCTGTCAGCTAGAGTCTGCCTTTGAGTTTTAGAGGCAGCCCACAGTTCTTTGTCATGTGGGCTTCTTCAATTTGGCTGCTTCCTTCAAGCCTACAAGGAGACTATCTAGTAGTACCAGTTTGCTGAGATGGAGTCTTACAGCACCTAAATTAATAGTGTAGGAAGTGACATCCTATTCTCTTTGCCACATACTATTGGTTAGAAGATGGTCACAAGCCCCCTATAGATTCAACGAGAGATTACATAAGGTATGAACAGAAGAGGAAAGAATCATTTTAGATCGTTCTGGGGTTTGTTTGTCAAAAGACCCAATAAATGCAAGCTTGATTATTCATGAAGGGAGAGTTGCTTATTTTGGCGTGAAAATAATGGGTGAAATACTAGAGGAAGTTCTTAAAAAGATAGAATCAGTAAACTATGCCAATCCTTTTCTGTACAGGAAACTTGTAAGGGTTTGCCTCTTATGTGGTATTGTGAAAGAAAGTCTGTAGGCCCTGGGGCACATTATGTTCCTTATTCCTTGTCCCTGTACACCCCTGGAATCTGACTGCCTCTGCATTAAATGGTTGAACTTCTCACTGTTACACATGGATTTACTTTGAGAAGACACAAGGCAGACTGGTAGTCATAGAGTGAAACAAGAAAGGCTAGACTAGGCTGTGGTTACAAATATCTCTTCCCAAATCTTAGCGGATTAAAATAACAAAGTTTAAACTCTTGCTCATGCTACGCAGCCATTGTGGGTCATCAGGGTGTTCTGCTTCCTGTCTTCTTCACTCCAAGACTTAGGGTGCTAGAGCAGCTATCTGGAAAATTGTTGGTTCCCTGACAGTGTGAAAGAGTACATGGAAGATTTTATACCCAGCCCTCAAAGTGCCTGCTAGGGGAGATACATGTCACTTCCCAAATTGATTAAAATAGGTCACATGGCCACATTTAATTTCAAAGTGCTGGGCCATGGAAGAGAACTGTAAATATATAATGGACTGCACTGAACACTACTAGAAGTGTGTTACCAGTTAGAGATGGGCGGTCAGCGTACCCTCCATATTGGAAAGAAAGAAACGTGTATTTTAGATGTTAAACCAGCTGAAGATGAACTATAAGATCTTTGTTTTACTTAATTTTATCATCTCCAGAGTTTAACTGAATAGTTTGGGGAAGCTCAAGAAAAGAGGACTTCTTTGTGTTCAGCACCTTGGTCCTGTCCCCAGGCAAAGTTCCTCTGGTACACTCAGGACAAAACGTGGTACCATTTATTTAAGTACCAATGCTGCTCTCATACTTTTCACTTAAGAATTCAAGTATTTCTTTTCTTCCTTAGTGGATTGTGTTGTTTTGCTCAGCACAGGAATGATGTAGGAAAAATAGTACTTTTATTTCCTGCGTATTGTTCTCCACAATATTAAGTTTGAGAAAATACCATACATGCCTTTATGTATTTGCTTGTACAGAAGTTTTCTTCTTTATCTTTTGAGAATGACCAAAGGAAATTAGATGGATGGATGGATGGATGGATAGATAGATAGATAGAAGAATTAAAAAATAGACTAAATGCTAATGTTTATATTAGTCTTCCCAGAGTTCATGGTAGAGTTGTTGGAATGGGAAGTTTGAACAATTAGGATTTTCATTAGTTCTTCATAGACACGCCCATATTCTTATTGTTGATTTCTTCTCTGGCAATTTCCCTTCTTTCATGTGTGATAGCAGTTGCAATTCATTATCAGGAAAACTAGGACTAAGAAAAAAATTTCACCTTAAGAAGATGACTCATATTTTAGAACTCAAAAATGGGAAATTTAGGATATTAAAAATGATGGTGATCAGTGAAACACATTAAGATGGTGATAACCATAAATTATTTTGATGAACATGGCCATGAATAAGGTTATGAAGATTAGATGCTTTTTAAAAATGAGATTTTTTTTTGTTGTCACTTATGTAGCACATATACTAAAATTGTACAGTGCAGAGTTTAGCATGACCCCTGCTCAATGTTGACATGCAAATTCATGAAGCATTCTGTATTTTGTGATGATAGTTAACAATACTATATTGTATACCTGAGATTTGCAGAAGAGAGCACTTAAATTAATCTTCTCACCACACGCACATACAATGGTAACTATGTAGAGATGATGGGTATGTTAATTAGCCTAATTATGGCGATTCTTTCACAATGTGACATATATTAAAACATCATGTTGTACATCTTAAATATATACAATTTTTGTGTGTCAAAGATATGTCAATAAAGCTGTGTGAAAACTTTTAAAATAAGATTTTTTAAAAGGTAAGTTTTATTGTTTAGGATGTTTACTGCTCTAAAATCTCATAGGTCACCCATTCTAAAAATCAGACACTACAAATAAAAAAGACAATTGATGTCCATCCTGTGTGCGATGTTTTCATGTTATCCTAAATCTGTGTGTTGATAAAAAAATAAAAGTTGTGGTCAATAATTTTTATTACTTAAAAGACATATTTCCAGTTTTCATTTCCTTTTTATTGATGTCATTTTCACTGCAGTAAAGAAAAATGTTTATATAATCAATATTTATATCAACTGGAAAATTCTGATTTAATTTTATGTAAATGATCTGCCATTCCCTGCCATTCTCATTCACTTCTGAGAGCACTACTGTGATCTATAATGAGAAGATTGTTATTTTCTTGATGACAGATCTTAACTCTTTTTGATGATTGTTCTAGTCTTTTTCTCTTAAGTTCAAAGAAAGTCCAGAAACCCTAGATTCATTTCCAAATATTAGTGAAGGATTAGAAGAAAGGAAACATAATAATTCCAAGTGTCTTGAAAATGATAGTTTGTATAAAATAATAAAAATCAAGTAAGTCTCCTAGATAAAATGCAATGCACAGAATTGATTGAGAAGACCATCTCAGTGCTTCCACAAATTTACGGAGGCAGGTATGTAGAAGTTTCTCCGTCTGTTGATATGTAAGTTTTAGTAGATGGCGGGGTGAGAACTGAAGCCCTTAATTACTGCAGCTGACAGGAGTGCCTGTGGCTGGCATCTCTCCCCTCAGTTTCTCTTCAGGAATAGTCACCAACTCAAAAGATACGCTTTGTCTAAATCCATGCCCCCTTTCCAGGGCAGCTTGCATTCAATGTCTGGTTTATAGGGGTTCATAAAAGATGAAATCTTTGTCTCAAGACAGAATGATTCCATAAGGCCATCCCAGCTCCAGCACTCCCCAAACGTTTTGCTGAGGCCTCTGTCATGATTGCTTGTAGTTCTGATTCTTCCCCTGCTGAGTTCTACTCCTTAATAGTTAATCCCGAACGCACTTTCCAATAAACTTACTGTGCGAAAATCTGAGTCAGAGTCTGTTTCCCAGGGAAACTTCCTTGTGACAGGGCTGTATAGATAAACGACAAAACACAAACATGTTCATGCCACGTATTTAAAGAAATCCATCTTCTGGAAACAGACACAGCATCTCTTTAGGCCCAGAATGAAAGCATCCAGAGAAACACGTGCATTCTAAGAATTTCCTTTTGACCTTCCCACGAAAAACTAAAAAGTAGGAATACAGACTCTGCAGCCCTATCTGTGAGTTTTAGAAAACCATCTGCAAGCCAGATTCATGGCTCCTTCCAGGCTTGGAAAGTCTGTAGATTCTTCTGTTCAAATAGACTGTTTCTCAGCCAGGTCAAGAAGCTTCAGTAACTGACAGCTGAGGTTTCTAGATACATATGATGGTGATTTCCTATTTTCTGGGAAAAAAAATGGAAAATTTGTAGTATCAAGCAGCAGTGGGCAGTACCTCGTGGCTCTACATTAGCAATTGTACATCCAAGCTTTACAGGCATATTATGAAGCTTGCATTACCTTATGTGTTTAGAGCTCCAGAATAAAGAAACTAGACTGAAAAGAGGATAAACTAAACTAAAGAATTTTCCTTTGGTTTTGCTTAAACTGCCATTTGTAACTAAGTGGTTTTTAGCCAGTCATTTTGCCCCCAGAGTACATCTGAAATTATCTGGAGACATTTTTAGTTGTCTGATCTTTGGAGTGGGGAAAGCTATCGGCCTTTAGTGGATAGAGACCAGCAATGCTACTAAACATACTAACAATGCACAGTAGAGACCACCTAAACAAAGAATGATTTGCTCCAAAATGTCAGCAGGTTGAGAAACCTTGCCAGAAGGCACTCAGTCATTAAGGGAGGGACAGTTACTCTATTCCATCTATGGACGACTATTAAATTAGCCAGACAATTCCTATAAATGTGGCACTATTCTGTTAACATATCCACAATTAATTTTACTTCTTTCTTATGCTATAAAGTTTAAACAGCTTTTCCAGATTTCTTATCAACAGATGAAGGAAAAATGATGAAACTAAACAGAAGTGTACAGTATTGTGTCATTGAAGTTATTTGTCCAGCTTAGAACAGACAGGCCAACCAAAGTCAGGAGGGACCTTGGGTTGAGGAAAAGTAGCCAGAACAAAAGATACACTCCTGGACAGTTAGACAAAGGTGTTAAGTCCTCGGAGATTGGCAATGGAAGAAAGTTTAAGCTGTCGGAAATTTACAGAAGGAGCATCTGGGTCCTGTTGCCTGTCAGGTGAAGGATCCTTCGGTCAGGTTCTAGTAGGTGCCAGCCGATTGATCTATACCTGTTACAAGTGCTAGCAGGAAAACACCTGAGGGACATTTATTTTCAGCGAAAGCCAGTAATAGAGCCTAATAAAAAATAAGGAGCAGTGTATCCAGACTACCTGTGTTCAAGTATCAGCTCTACCACTTGCTAGCTGTATAGAGAAACAAATGCCTTAACCTCTGTATCTCATTTTCTTTACCTGTAAAATCCGAAAATAACAGTGCATCTGTGGTTGTTGCAAAGATTAAAAGATTTAATATGTGTAGCAATAACGTTAATTCTGCATGTTAACTACTAGTATATTAAGGTAAATATTTTAGCCACAAATATGAGCCTCTAAAATTAGAGATATCAAATATCCTTTCATTTAAATTTTGGTTAGTATTGTCAATATGGTGATTCTAGTTAGTTATTTTACTCAAGGAACATTTTATTAAGAATTGTTAATCTCAATAGTTGTTTTCCTACACTTAAAATGACCTAGGGTTTAGGCTCTAGTTATACCTTAAATAAGGCTGGCCCAAATTAAATAGGACCTAATTATTTAGTGTTTTCAAAAAATGGTTGAAAATATTAAAAATGGAGTTACAGTGGATGTGAAAGTAATCTCCAAATCATAGAATTCTAGTACAAAGACTCTGGCCTTGGGGTTAAATGGAGAAAATAAAAGGATTACAGTGTTCAGTACTTTTCATGGATATCGTTAAGAAGGAGTCTAGAATGAAATTCTAAATAGGCTCAAGAAGAATTTACATAAATAATAAATAATTCACCAAAGGAATTATGGATATTTGGGTTACATAATTACATTATAGGATTTTTTATTTAGGAAAATTGCTTGAAAGGAAATGTTAATTCTCTTTCCAAAGCAATCTTTATTGCTCCTGTTAGAGGCAAAATATTATCCCAGTTGGATTATTTTAAATGAGCAGGATGATAATCATATGCATAGAAATTGTTAGTGAATATTAGACCCTGCAGTATTATAGAAAGAGTGGTGAATTTGAATCAGAGTGCAGGTGCCTGTCTGGGTTTTGCTTCTGTATAGCTGCATGAGTATAAGCAAGACAGTTCATTTCTATGAGCCTTTGTTAGATGTAAAGTGAAAATTCTTATCTTTACCTTACAATTTTAATTAAGACGGGATGAAAACAAGTTTATAGAACTTTGTAAACATTAAAAAATATATTGAAACAATATAAGTAGTAATTTTACAATTATATAATTATAATAATTATGTATTATGTTAAAAACAATGTAATTAAAAATTATTATTATTATTATCACTATGCCTTAACTAACCAGGAAAATAGCCCACTAGTCCATCACCATGGTCATTTTTAAACATCCATTCTAGTATAAATGATCATTTAAAAATATTTTTAGCTGATGGAGATTGATCTGAATGATCTTATATAATTCAGGTTTTAGATAAATTTTAGTTAAATGGGAAACCTTTCTTTTTGAAAATTTTAAAGTGCTGAATACTTCAATTTTATTTTATTTATACTTCAATCCAGAAACTAAAAATATATAATTCAAAATTCAAAAATTTTATTATAACATCAACTAGTTGAGAAATAGGCAAGTTAAGGGAAAATGATATGGTACACACTAATGGATAAACCATGTCCTAAGAAGATGAACCAGCCACTCTTGGAAATGAGAATTTCAGTTCACTGAGCTTAATATGAACTGACGTAAATTCCCCGGTTTTCTAAATATCATCCAGTGATTTTTCCGAGGTTAACTTTAGTTCCTTTTACATGATTATTTTACTGGGTAGGGAAATAATCATGAACATGACACCAGCTCATTTTCAAATAAGTCCAAAAGAAAACAAAATTGTATGTGTCAAGTCAAAAGACTAATTCACTGATTTAGTCCTAAGAAGGAGAAGCAATTTAGGCTACAAAAAAACTTGACTTTCTCCAAACAGCTCTAATTTCATTGCACTTTCTGAATAAATAAATACATACATACATACATACATACATACATGCATGCAAGTCATATTTATGACAAACGTTTTTATGTTTTCATACATAAAGATAATTTTATTTTGCTACTCCAAAATTCCATAATAGTCTCTTCTTCTGTGAGATGAACATGTTCAATCCCCCTGTTCTAATCTCTTGTTACCTTTCTCAATGTAGCTACTCAGGTTCCTGCTGAACAGACAGCCAATAACCCCATCCCCATTGCTACTTGATTCAGAAGAGCAGATTCTGATTCATATCTGACTAACCTGTTTTTCTGTCTGTGTAGTTGGAAATCGTATTGAGGATACATTAATTCTACTTAGCCTGTGTCAGCACTAGAATGAGGACTTGGCCAAAGAAGCAGAGAGAGAAAATAGTCAGAGAGAAAGAGAAAAAGCAAAACAAAACAAAACAAAAAAA